TTCCCACTTTTGCTAACCTCTAGGAGGCAAATCCACCCGCCCTTACTCCCCTTTGAAGCGTGTCATTCTCGGTATAGCTAACACTAAATATTCACCCTCTCCGGGAGGCCGACCAAACATTTCCTCCTGATAAAGCCCGCGCATGGAGAGAAGGCTGTTTGGATATACCCCTTAGGATCTATTGCCGTTGCCGCCGCCGGAAACCTGGTGGCTGGGTATTGCAACAACCCTCTTCATCCAGCATGACATGTCTGCCATGGATGGGGTGAAATAAAATTTAACATCAGGCGATTTCCCAGGATTAAGTTCGGATGAAGGCCCGCCCGAGATGCATCCGAAGGCAGATATGATACCCTGGATTAGCGGTGCATTGCTAGAACGCGGGTACATACACGGGTCTTCGTGGGTGGCTTCCATTTGCTGACAATGGATACCGATATAGTTTTCGTATTCGGAACAACCAAACGTCATTGTGGGCACACCAGCTAGAGATAGCAGCGTGATCGGTGAATTTGGTGTTTCGCTAGGCTCCACTGGAGACGATCTATCCTACCGGTACTCAGAATCTGGTTCGGTACCCCTCCCCCCTTCCACAGATCTCACTTGCGGATGCCAATTCTTGGGAAAGATTCACCATTTCAGAAAATCCTGCTGATTCTTGAAAACTCACACCGGGACCAAATCCAGTTATCGGCATAGCCTTGTTACTATATCATGAGTCTACCTCAGAAATCTGGTTTTTCGGCCATATCTTTTTTTGGAAAGTCCCGTTCCAGGGATTTTGCCCACGAAGCGAGGACAAGACCAGAGCCGAGGCGAGAGGCATCACATCATTTCGTGAATGATATGATACACCGGCACTAAGCATACAGCCCGACACCTGTCTTCCCCAAACATAAGCATAATAACCGACACGGAAAGGGAGGCACACGACAATCAATCGGGAGCATAGTATGTGTTAATATTTTTCTCTCCGGTTTTGAAGAGCAGAGGGACCCAAAATCTCCTCAACCGAAAGCGGGGCGAGATAGCAGCAGCACTAGACGCAGGGCGTTGGGTCTGCAAATGCAAAACGCTGTCGACACGAATGCACCGATCCCACCTCGTGGCTGCCCAAGGGGTCGCGTGCTGCACTTCCCCTCACCGTCCAACGTTCCTATCCCAATTGGATGGGACCCCAGCTCCCCGAGCAAACGATTCACTTCTACAAAAAAAAAAAAAAAAAAAGAAAGAAAAAGACAATCCAATCCAATAACGAAGGAATCCAAGGGTGCTATCAATAACAAGGTATCTCCCCACCGCAAAAAAAAGGGGAGAGAAAAAAATCCCACCATGGCTAGCGCAAGCCCCATTATTCCCCTTGCGAAAGCAACAACCTTTTCTTGCACTGAATTTCCAACTTCATCCCCAAGATGGGGCACACACGTAGTTATACTCGTCTCAGACTACTGGAAGCCGACTAATAGGAGGAACCTTGAAGAACCAACTCGCTAGAGGAACTGAGTTGGGGCAGCTGCCAACACCAGCTGTCAGAACCCCTCCACAAACCAGAATCCCAAATCATCCCATCTCGTCGCTCCCTCCGCGAGAGAAGTTCTGTGAGATATTGATGAAAGGAGCTGTTTCTCTCACGTAGCAGCTAGTGCCCCTGAGAGGGAAAAGCACAGGGCAGAGTTCCCCCCATTTCTTCCTCTCTCGTTTCCGCTTTTCGATGCCGGTCCACGACTCTCTTGCGAGGTACGATGCGGCTTGCGTTATCCGCCCAAGAGTTTCAGCCGTACTGCAACATGATCTTTGTGGCATTTGTTGTACATACCAGCTCCGCTACAGCTATAGCCCACCGCATCCGCAATTAGAACACTCAAGCCCAACAGCACCTCCGGAGGTGGCCCCCGAAGTTGAGACATTGGTTGAAATCCCAGCGACAGATGATATGAGCAAGCCCGACAATACATCGAGGGCAAATCCCCCTCTTATCATGGCAGGATTGATACACAGTGACCTACGGTACTCGTCGGTCTTATTCCTTGCGAGGAGGAAGATGTGCCCCCCCAACTTGAAACCGCCCCATCTTCCCACGTTTTTCCAACAGGAAAAAAAAGCTGCTGACATGGGTTGAAAGCACGGTTCAGCCATGCGGTGCCCACGAGACTTCCGCCCAAGCCCCTTCCAATTCCCTATGTCCATTTCTAGCTCCCATAGGTGCACCAGCGATCGTCGGCGCTCAATGCCCTCCCTCGTAAGGCAGAAACTTGATTAAAAGTATTGGTAATAGCTCCCAGGAGTGTAACTATAATATAGCGCGCTCGACCCATCTCATCCACCATTCCACAAACAAGTAGAAAAGGGAAGAAAAAAAAAGTGTGGTGTGTGGCTAATCCCCAGCCACAAAGATCTTCCGTGCATTCAACAAGAAAAAATTGTCCCAAACCTGCAAGTTATCATGTAAACCCCCCAAACAACTCTCCGATCGTCCAACCTCCGCAGCGGTCCCCTCTCTTTGAGGGGATTAGAAATTCGAACAATTGGACCAAACGCTAGGCCGTTCGAGTTGCCCCCTCTGGTACGAGTACCGGCACAGTACTCGTGCAGTACGGCTTACAGTAGCGCTCTTTTTCTTTTTTTTTCTCTTATCATACATCTCTCATGTGGCTGAGCCACCTCTCCCTTTGCAGTACCCTCCGCCCACTTCCAGAGTAGGGAATTTTCAACCACCAGCGCACGGTCCAATCGTCCGAGTCTCAGCGCTACAGTGCCCAACAAACACGGAAAATTTCAAAGCGAGCCGCTCGAGCAGATCCGACACCGTACCGTACGGTCGGGGAGCACACGAGAGATGCTATGCACGGCGCAGCCCGGATTGCGCAATTCTCCTGCCGCAACTCACACAGGAGTGCAGAAAGAGTGCAAGACGGGATATCACAAGCCCCCACATCTTATTTCAAATAGGTCCGGTCAGGTGGGTACGCGATGGGTACAACACAAGTCGCGCTGGTGGTGTTTTCGTAAAGAAGGGGATACATCGTATCGTACAAATGCCCGTCTACCCATTCTGTTGTATCAAGGTACCGGTACCATATCGTACAATATGAGTGAGTGAGTGAGTGAGGAGACATGGCAGTGATGCTGAGATAACCATCATAGTGGTTTCAAATAGGACTGGACTTGACTGGACTTGTGCATTTTCTGTGCTGCACTCTACTTACACACACGCACGTACAGTACAATGTCTCTCGTACCATAAATCTAGCACGACACCCGGGCACCATGCGTAAACAAATACTCGAACGGGCACGATGAAAGCAGCTATCGACAAGAAGCGTACGGTACGTTTTAGCAAATCGGTACTCGAGTTGAAGTCTGACAGGTACCACAGAGAATTGATAGGCACAGTATCATAGTTGTATGATGGTATGATAGCTGTGGCGGCGGTGCAGTACTAGTTAGTACACTGTAGTTCAGTAAACATGAAAAAAGTGTTCCCTTCCCTGCTATCATGATTATTATTATTATTACGATTCCGATACCCGGTAATGCGAGATTCTTGCATGACGCAGAAATAGTATCCATCAAACAGCACTGCACATACAGTGCACAGTACTAAATCCTACGGTAATTAAATTACGAGCTATAAGATCGCCAAGTCTTAAGGAAAAGTGGGGGAACACGCGCGATACAGTGAGACAAGATATCATATATTGTCCCAGCATACCCCACTGCTACCCGTACAGTTA